CAAAAAATACCTTATTATAGATAAATTGAAAAAAAGAACTTGATGAGAATTCAAACATACTTTTGCATCGTCCGATCCCGAAGCCATTAAATGAGGGTCTACATTATTGAATACTACAGTCCAGCATCTCTTCTCATGCTCATGAAAAGAAATCATTTTGCACCAAATTAGAACTAAAGTCAAATTCGTAACCATATAACCAAAAACCAATTTATATTCAGTTATTTTGTTAAGAAATTGATATCATATTTATTTTGATGTGTTTTTGAACATCGTCAAGTAACAAACTTGATAGTGCCTAACTGATCGAGCAAGAGAAGTGTCCCAAAGTTGTACCGTACCGTCATAATCACTGCTTGCAAGCATATTTTTACAGTATGGATTCCACGATACATTACTGAAAATAATCTTGTTTCAACGTTAAAGAGTTAATAACTGCTCAAACTAATATAAATGACATCAAAAACTTGACAACACGGAAGATAGAAAACTAAGTACCTAATTTTTGATTTACACTGAAGTTGCATCACCGGATAATGTAAAGACTCCGTATATTCGATGACTGAGTGAAATTCATAAAGTTTGATACGTTTAGCAACTCCAGCTAATATAAAAAATTCTCCATCTTTGTCAAATTCAATGCTAAAAAGTTTTATTCTCATTCATATCATAATCAAAATAATATTCTTTTCACTATTTCCTTTTTGCAAAAACAACTTTACTATAGCTATATGGCAATTTTCGCAAAAACATCCTACTCAAATAGACAACGATTCATCACTGAAAATTATTTATAAATTAAAAATGAACACTGCTGTTGTTAACTTTACAAACTAATATCTTAAATCACAAATTATTACCTGACAATTTTTCAGCGGTAAAATTTTGTCATATACTTTTCATTAAATACTTGAAAAAAAAATCAATTATTTAAATACTCTTTAAGGATTACTTTCAAAATATTTTCTCTCTTCACATCGCACAGCAATTATGGATAATGCAAATTACATGTGCAATAAATTTGTTCTCACATTTCAGTCCAAGTCGCAAAAAAGAAACCTCGAAACAATAGATAATGAAGCAGATGTATCTGCAAGATTATAATTTAGTGATGACACTCGTCGGAATTTTCCATACTGTGATATACCATGCAGCACCCGAGAAAAATCGTCAAGATTATCGCAACAAGAGCCCACTAGATCACTATCTTCTTTTTCTGATTCTATACAAAAATTTATTCAGCTATTTAGCTGTATAAAAACAAATAGCTCGACTAAATCTACTAATATCAAATTAATTTAGTGCTAAAAATTAAAGGAAAGAGGATAATGGGGGAAAAAGTTTGACAACAGAATTATCTCACTTCACATCATTGATTTTAGAATTATAATGAATCCTTAACTTGTCATCAAACTACGATTTTCAATCAGATCAACCAGATCTGATCAGATATTCAAAAACGAATCCATGAAACTTAAATTCCTTTTTACAAATTATTTTACTAATGAATTATTTTTTTACTAATGAATTAGTACAGTATTCTATCTGTTTTTCTCATTACAGCGATAACAATCATAAATGATGAAATACATCACGAAATTACAGTGATTAGGTACCAAATTTCCTGACTAATCACTAGATGGTCAATTAAATTTCTAGCTCAAATTTTTTGCATTTCTGCTCTAAAAATTCAAAAAAAAACTAAACAATATTAACTTGTATTACTTATTTGCCTGCTAAAATAAGCTTGCTCCAAATCAGCCATATGTCGTCGAAGACGACTGCGGTATTTTCTCATTTCAAGATCAAAATTATCATCAGCATCGAAACTGTCATCATTTCGTTCATCATCACCAAATCTTGCTTTCTTTGAAGTTGATATATGTGTTGAAAACTGCACGGAACTAGCGTCCGGAACCATTCGCTGTGAACATGTGACAGTACTGTTATCCGATAAGCTTCTCTGAAATACCTATATCTTATAAAGCAGAAGCATATGTTTTAGTCGAACAGAAGAGAGAAAATACTCAATAAAGTTGATGACAACCAGTAAACTTTCTATGATACAGAATTTTCATAATTACATGCTCTAAAACTAGTAATTCCTTAGATCTGAGACTTGAATACGTGGAAACAATTCCTAAAATTGAGTATATAACCTGCATAGAAGATTTGTCATCGTATAAAACAGATAATTCATGTTGAAGCTGTTTGAGCTTTTCTTCCCGTTGAGTAATCATTTCATCAATAAACTCCTTCAACAATATATTCTTTCTGTGAATTACGTTACTGCTAACTTGTCGTTTTTTAAGAAGATCAACAAAATGATCCAAAAAACTGGTGCTTGCATTCATTGCCAAATCAACTAATTTTTCCTTGGTCATTTCTATCTCTTCTTTTCTTTCCTAAAACAGATAAAAAAATGGAGTCTTCAAATAAAAATAAAAAACTAATTCTAAAATCATTACAGTTGCTAATGAATATAACTAACACCAGAAGTTGTCAAAACACGAGCTACTTTCATATTATGGCGTTTTGCGTCTACAATACTGGCAGCTGTAAAATTGGGAAAAATAATGGGCCCCGATTTAGGATCCAAACTTCGACCACATGAAGGACATCGTAAAGAACGCTCCAAATGTGAACTAATACACTCACGGCTATAATAATCATACTACTTTGGATGATTTTGAAAGGCATATATTTAATATTAGACTTTAATATAATTAAGAGATGAAGAAAACATCTTTCTGGCTGTAAAATTACACTAATATTTTTGATAATAAGTGATAAGGAAAAGCAGTGGATCAAAGTAAATTATTTCTATTACATATCAGCACACATAAAAACGAAAATATATTGAATGTAAATTATATCTTCTTCAAAAAAAACTGCTACATAGTGACACACTACAGTCTTTGCAAAAGAAACTTCAATATTCAGACAAGATGTAAGTAAAATTTAACTCTTTCACAAAGTATGGCTTTCTTATTTCATCTTTTTATTTATCACAAACTACTTGATTTTCAAAGAACTGAAATTCAGAAGATGAAAACAGTAAAAATGAAAGAATATATACCAGTATGAATGACCACATATAGTCGAATATGGCTCACGAAAGAGTTGAAAGCAAATAGGACTAAAACATACAAAATTATAGCAAACGGTGAATTTTTGTAAACATACACTTTTTATATCAACATATATAAATATGTGCTAATAATTAAAACATTTTAGAATAAAAACTGATGCTTAGCAACAAAAAAAGTAACACTATCTACTGAAAATCAAAATTTAAGCACATAACTTTCGAACTTTTCGAGAAGTATTTATGATTTTCGAGGTAGAAAATCCAAATACTCTAAATTTTTTAACCTGAAGTATGAGTCTTCATTATTACTAGAACTTCTTCATCATTTAATCAGATGATCAGGTTTTCAAAATTACAATATAAAAACAAAAGTAAAAGAATAAGATTACCAATTATAATGATTGTTTATTGAAATATTCGATAAATAATCAAAGTTCTTATGGGTGGATGATGGTAATACAGAAGATGATGAACAGCTTTCGAAATTCAAGCTTGAATCCTCGGTTCTCATCAACTCTTGGACTGATTGAGCTGTTGAACATTTAGGAGATTGCTGGTCAGCTTCCATTATCTACTGTTGTCTGCAGTGATGCTAGCAAAATGCTAATATTCTACCTCGACTAGACGCTTCCGTCTTATCAACAACCGTAACCTTCAGCATGATGCGACTAGATTCATTGCAAGATCGGTTTTCATTTATGCTGCAACAGACACGTAAAATATTGTACCGTATTGGGTAATTTGCTACATCTCATACGTAAGTCATAAATGTTCCTGACACGTCTATACAATTTCTAATCGTTTTAAGACCTCACCCATGTCAATAATTTTTCTAACGAAGCCTTCTTCTGTACTGTGCACTATTTTTCCCTCACATTACAAAATTTCATAAAAAGTATATTTTGAGATTCAAGCTTGAAACGTCGGTTGCATCAACTAAGAATACTATACTGTTATTTGGCTCTGCAATTTTAGAATATTAATCACTTGGATGTTTCTGCTGTTATAAAGAGAAAGGAATGAATATCTTTACTTTCTAGAATCCATGCTATTAACTTTTAATGCAAATACAAACACTACCAAATGATGATCAATATCACGTCCTTATCACAACCTTTAAAGAATAAAAGTTACAAACAAAAACTTGTAAAATATTAGCATCTGGATGTATAAATCTAGCATTCATATATATGGATACAAATAAAAGTCATCATATAATGTTCACTTCTTTGATACTGAAACATGTTATTGAAGTTCCTGAACCCAACAATGTGAAAGGCAGTATAATAAGTAGTCGATTAAAATTTACGTATTATATTTGTCTTCCATACACAACTACTGGTAAATTATTAAATTAATAAGGAGATGACTAAATTATAAGCAAAACAGCTATCAAAAACAATGGAACTGGCTAAAAATCTTCCAGATACAATAAATGAGACGCAAAAAAAACTGAAAGCATCAATACAACATTATGCCACAGATAAATAAGAAAAGATTCACTGTACATTATGTAGCTTTTCCACTTCATTCAAAATGAACAGCAATGTGAAATTGATTAAAAGTGAGAGAAGTTCAAATACTTGTCAATAATTCAATTTAAGAACATACCAGTAGCCAAAAATTTGCTAAATAAAGTACAGATAGAAAAAAAAGTAAAACAAAAACTAAATGCGCTACCTTTAACGTGAAAAAACTCAAATTTATTAATAGTTAAAATTAGTTCTATGACAAATTTCACATTTTAGAATGACTAAGTCGTAACATTCAAAAACAATGTACATATACAAAAATGAAAGAAAAGTCGTAACCGACTGAAGCATAAATTTGCATGTTCAAGCTCATATTTAGAAGGGCTGCAAGTTCTAAATACTAAACAGAAAACTAGACAAAGAAAAAATGAATGGAAACTTAATATCCTTAGCAAATTTTCTTTATTCCAGGATTACATAGACATCGAACCAGCATTTTCGAAACACGTCCAAGCATCATTTAATTCTGTAAATATGGAGCGAGCCAGCGCTTCATTTTCAGTACCAACCTGCTTATCAGGATGTACAACCAGACATGCTTTGCGATAATATTTTTTGATCTGAAAGCATAAACATATGCATAGATGTCAAACCTAAAAATTCATGTTCTAAAAATCAGAATTAATGCAAATCATTTGTTAAAACCACATCCTACATCAGCACTTAATGTAGGCACTCTTTAAGTTTTTGTCAACTGTTTTTGTGGAGATGAAAGACAATTTGCAAATGCAGTTTTTTTTGATTTTCATTACATGTTTTGAAGCAATGAGATATTGCCTTTACATTTGAAAGTCATTTAATTGACAGCGAAGCAAGCAATCTTTATGTTATAATTCTACTTTTCCATATGTCTTCTCTAATCCTTATCTTTCCATTGAAAAAATGAAAAATTTACATTTTGAGAAGTTAGTAGATCACCAATGCTTGGCTGAACCCAGTTTTCCGCACTCGGCCACAAAACATCATTTAGAGACCCCAGCAAAGCTCTAATATTTCTTTCTTTACCGTTCGTCCAATCTTTCACCTAAAAGAATATGATTTCATTCCTCCGAAGACAATCAGCAGTTCTTTGAAAACTGCATTAATTTTCTTAAGAGCAAAATTTCTACCTTGGCTTTCACAGGATCCATCCCTTTAATTTCTTCTTCCCGTTTCATTTCACTTAGAGACTTCACACTTTTTATTGTTGCTTGGAAACCCTGCGAAGTTAGCAGATCATCGAATGCATTTTCAAGATTTTTTGATTTGCTAGCTACAAAACCTTCGATATCAAAAACATTTCAAAAATATTGCTTTCTAACACTTCTAATATTTTTTATGTCCTCTTTAAACCTATATGAAGCTTTGATGCCTGATGTTTATATCTAACTTTCGAAAATGAAATGTATATATGAAATTAATGCTTCCTTAACATCAAAAAACTCAATTCACGTACACGTTCGCAAAATGTATAGCAAAACCTTTAGTAGAACTCTGTACATCAAAATGTGCGCGCTCGTAACAGGGCTGCTGTTGCCCATGCAATATAGCTTTGTCAGTTGTTTCTGGTAAGACTGAAATTTATGAATGTTGTAGTATAACGAAATAACAAAAATAACATGATATTGGAAAGTCGATCTATAAAATAATTAAACTAATGTTAAGTCTTCAGGATAACTTTGAACTTCACCTCAAAAATTTCAACATTAAAATAAACAGAAATGACTTTTTGGTTGTAGAGTTGAAGAACTCTTTGCTGATGTTAAGAAATCATTCAGTAGGTCAGTTTTCATTTCTAACATAGAAGCACCAGGATCTGTAGTTGAGAAAACTGGTGTACTGTGATGTAGTTTGTGCTTGAGATCATCAGAATCTAAAACAAAAATATAAAACGATGAAAAATCCCTGTAACAATTGTGCTCCGTGATTTTATTTGCAATTTTGATACCTAAACCCAATAAAGATTAGTTTGAATATCTTTTTGTACCATATAAATGTAATAAAATTGAAAAAAGATGCAAGAAAAACGAATCATTAAAGTCTAAAAGAATCTCCTCCTTTGA